CACACACGCACACACGCCCACACACGCACACACGCACACACGCACACACGCACACACGCACACACGCACACACGCACACACGCACGCACGCACACCCGCACACCCGCGCACGCCCGCACGCACGCACGCACGCACGCACGCACGCACGCACGCACGCACGCACGCACGCGCACGTGCACGCGCACCCACGTGCCCACACCCTCACACACACGTCGCAGACAGAGACAGAAAGGGAGTGAGGGAGAGAGAGAGAGAGAGAGAGAGAGAGAGAGAGAGAGAGAGAGAGAGAGAGAGAGAGAGAGAGAGAGAGAGAGAGAGAGAGAGAGAGAGAGAGAAAACAGAGAGAGGAGAAAGAGGAAAGAGAAAGAGGAAAGAGAAAGAGGAAAGAGAAAGAGGAAAGAGAAAGAGGAAAGAGAAAGAGGAAAGAGAAAGAGGAAAGAGAAAGAGAAAGAGAAAGAGAAAGAGAAAGAGAAAGAGAAAGAGAAAGAGAAAGAGAAAGAGAAAGAGAAAGAGAAAGAGAAAGAGAAAGAGAACAGGCAGAAAGAGAACAGACAGAAAGAGAACAGACAGAAAGAGAACAGACAGAAAGAGAAAAGACAGAGAGAAAGAGAGAGAGAGAGAGAGAGAGATGTAGAGAGAGGGAGAGAGAAAGAGAGAGACAGACAGAGAGAGAAAGAGAGAAGAGAACGAAAGAAAAAAGAAAAGAAAGAGGGAGAGAAGGACATGTTGCTTCAATCTGCTGCGAGCAGGAAAGATCGTTACGAGGACATCACTCTTTATTGGCTGGAGCGTGCCATCAAAGGCTCTGTGAAGTGGCTTGGCGTGGTCGCCCCCCCCCCCACATGCCCCCCCCCCCCCCCCCCTCCCTAACAAAAAGAAAGACATACCCCGCATCAGTGCTGAGACCTTCGGTTTTGGTTCTCTGTTGATGCATGAGGCAAAGCATCAGGGAACAGGTGAACAAAAGGATTGGGTGGGAAGAGAAGGGAGCCGCGGGCCTCCTCGACTTCGGCGGGCATGCCGCTCCACCGATGCTGAACAAAGGCCTGCGGAACGCAACCCTCACAATCGGGCTGACAAGCTAGGGCGGTGAAACTATTGTCCTACAGGTCTGGCTTCAAGATCATCGCTGCCCTCTACCAGAAGTTCCACCGGGTCGCCCTACCCCGCTCAGGCTACTGAAGAGGATGATGATGAGAACGAGGAGGATGAGTTTGACGTGGCCAAGGACGAGGCCCGGGATGAGGCAGCCAAGCTTCGCAAGAAGTTAGGGATGCCCGAGTTTGACCCGGAAGAGACCATGCTGACAAGCTTGCCTAAGTGTCTGCAGCTTGCCTTGACCATCGTGATAGAGGATAACGTACATCGTCTGTAAGCAGCTATCGAGATCTAGGCCAAATATGAACGTGTGAATCATATCTTAAGGACATCCCTGAGCAAGCGAGTCAAGAAGATTCAAGACTGCCTGGACCGCTTCAACAAAGCCTCGAACCTTACAGAGACGCAAAAAGCGCAACCCAGCTAGATGAGCAGTGCATGTGCTAAATTGAACAGGTACATGAAATTTGCTCAAGCACTCCCGAATATGCTTTGCAAGGTTCAAGGAAGCCTTTGATCAGTCCCTGAAGAGCATGAACGACAAGCACGACGAGCTGAGCAGCATCTATTCCCGATCCGTGGTCTCGGGCTTTACGAGGAAGTGCCTTTCCTCAACAGATCGCCGAAACCCTCAACCGTATTTTCCCTCGAAACCCGATAAACTCTGTATATGCCCTTCACCTTGTGTAAACCTGAGCCCCAAGCCCAGGAGAGCCTCTACTTGTTTTTTTGTTTTTAGGGTTTTGGGTTTAGGGTTTATAAGGTTTATAGGGTTTATAGGGTTTAGGGTCTTTTTGTATTTGCGGGGGGAGGGGAGGGGGGGCAACGAATCAGGTACCGAGAGCAGCTGACTGTTTAGGGTTTGGGCCTACACCCCAACCCTAACCCAGACAAAGTAGATCCCGTTAAAGGTTCGGAGAAATGACCCAATAGTACATCGAGGTATATAGATCTTGGATACTCCCACGGGTCTGGGGAGCCCTATACCCTAAAAACCCTATATAAACCCTATAACCCTTATAAACCCTGTAAACCCTACATGAATACAAACCCTCGAAACCCTACATAATCCCAAGTACAGCCCTGCGCCGGCTGACTTCAGCTTCAGTACACGGTGTGTTACAACATAGTTCGGATGCTTCCCAAATCATTATAAACCCTATAAACCCTAGCAACCATAAATCCTACTTGCACCTCGTGGGAGCCACATCGATGTGCTTCCTTTTGCGAGTCCTGGGGATGGAGAAGTTACTGAGACCATGTCACTACAGGTTGTTTTTTCTCAGAAGTCTTTCGGTTAAGGCCTGAGACAGAGTTTGCCAAACAGGGTCAGTGTGTATTTTACAGCCTGCGCGCGTCTTTGGGTTGAGCGTTCTAGGAGTACCGGGGTTTTCAAATGGCCTGCATGGGGCTTAGGGTGGCTCTACATGGGGAGCTTATACGGCTTTCTAGGGTTTGGCAGGGTTTGGGATTTTTTAGGCTGGTGTCATCTGAGGGTTCTACGATGGCCTCTGTTTAGGCCTGGAGTTTCGTGGGTCTCTGTAGAACCTTGCAACCTTCGAAGCTCCGTCCTGAGCTGTTTGCATCCTGAGAAAGATTATCCTGAAGTCCATGAAGCCCAACCCTACTGGCACCAAAACACACTTAAGCCCTAAACCCTGTGAACCGCCGAACCCTGTGAACGGCTAAACCCTGCGAACCCGAAACCCCTCTAAAACCCCGCTAAACCTCTGAACCTTTGGATGCCATGCAGGAAGGTTAGTATAAAGAAGCACATCCCAACCTAGACCCCAAACCCTAAACCCAACCCCAAACCCCAAACCCTAAACCCCAAACCCCAAACATGTACACACAAACGCGGCAGCTGGGTGTACTCAGCGTGGGGACCTTAATCCTCTAAACTGAATAAACCCTATATAAGCCCGAGACAAACCCTTCATAAACCCTAAACCATAGATCAACCATAACTCTCTAGACCCTCATAAACCCCATAAGCCCTATATAAACCCTGAACCCTCTATAATTCCTATAAAACCTATAGAAACCCAAAACCCTATAGAACCTTAGAGAAACCCTAAACCCCTACGTTGCGCACCGCACCCCTTTCACAGCTATCACTGGACCTTGAGAGGAGGTATCAGCCGCAAGCGCAAGTCATCTAGTAGTAGGAGCCTTATCAGCCGGAAGCTCCATTCACCCCCACGTGACGTAGGTCGGTAGCTAGGAGTCGTATCAGCCGCAAGCGCAAGGCCGGTCTGGACCAACAAAAGCTAGCACATGCAAGCGTGCTCGGTTGCCAAGCATCTGTCCGCTAATCATGGCTACGACGCAGTCTGACTTTATTTTTACGTACGATTGATTGGTCACTGAAGTGTGGACGAGACAACGGGAGCGGTCAAACGCCAGAGCAACGAAGCCGTTCTTGGCATGCGTGGTCCAGCAATCTGCAGATATGCGGACTCCACTGTAATGAACCAAGGCTCTGCAGTCACACGCGGCGGCGCTGGCCGTAGCATGCGAGCATGAAGCGCCGTTGTACCTGAGTTCACACGCGCGTGCTCGCGACTCGCGCTGGGTGTTGGGCGCGATAAGGCTTTGCACGGGGCTCCATCTAGATATACTCAGTTAACACTGCACATGGGTTGCGAGTTGGAATCCATAAAGCCAACGTGCTTGCGTCGCAGTTACATGTGAGTGACGCGCGCGCGGCATACGGTAGCACGCGTTGCTTCACACGCAGGCGGCGTTGTTACAGTGCCTAATCACACAGGGACCCTCTAACATCGACGTGAACGGCGCCGGGGTTATTCTATAGCCGAGCTACCTTTTCTCGGCAGTCGTTCTTGTCTACCTAGACGGTGGCCTCGGATCCTAATCAGGGTATGTTCTCACATTACCCAGCGTTGAACCGTATCCTGTACCCCAGCCTCTGTCCCTCTACCGTTGCCATTCCAACGACTGCATGTAGCGTTCATGAAAAGGGTTTATATAGGGTTCGTGCAGGGTGTTTAATTGGGGTTTAGGCGTACTTTAGGGATTCTAGGGCTTGTATGTCCACAAGGTTGTGCAAATTTTCGTGCAAATGGATCTTGACTTTGGGCGCAGGTTTCCTACTCTTTACGGCAAGGAGGTTATTGCCCCTTTTGAGTCAGCCGAGGTCCCAGGACGCAGCCAAAGTGGTCATCGACGCCGCCATCGATCTGCCCGAGCCTCTATATAGTACCTGCAGTTGTGCAACTGCCGCCGCTTTCTCTTGTCTTAATTTGTTTTCTTGGCGTTGCTGTTAGGGCTACGCAATCGCTTGGGCTGGAGACGAGGGCCAGGCTGGAAATGTCATGTAGATACTTGGAGGTTCGTGGGTACTTTTCACCCCACCTACAAGTCACTATTTTTGACCTACTCAGAGGACTAAGGGGCCTTATATAGGGGGCTTACACAGTTCTACTTGGGGTTTTAGGTATCCTGAACCTCCAGGTACACCGATAAGATCAATGTTCTTCTATGTGATCGAGTGTACAACCCTGGACTGTAGCAATATTCCTGCAAGGCCATATCTGCCCAAGGAGGCAGCCGCAGCGAAGCGAAAGCCGAACAAGCCTGGAACCGTGAAGCCCACCCCAAAGGGAAAAGCTCAAGCCAAGATGCCGGCTCGAAAGAAGCAGCCCGAGCCCACTCCTAGGAGCAAGAAGGCGCGCCACAGCTAGAATCTTTAAAGTTGCACGGCATCGCCAGCAAATTTACAATTAGACGATTGCACGCTGGAAAAGCGTGTGCACTGCATGCTGTCCAAAGGATAGTGTGGGCGTGTGTGCGGCCTGCTCTGAGAAGCCGAGCTATGATCACCATCGCACGTATATATGGTTTCGACCGGACTCTTGCGATCAGATGCAGGGCGCGACGTCATGAGTCCTACAGCCAGCTGGCTGTTCACGTTCATTTGCTTGCACTCTGCTGCAATGTGCCAGAGTCGGGCTTAAGAGATTGAGAGAACCCGGGAAAATCGGTTACTAACGAAGTGCTTCTCAGCACGGTTTGGGGTCTATACGTTTGTAAAGAGGTTTGTAGAGGGTTAACAGGGTTTAGCGGGGTTTGAGGCGGTTTTGTACAGGCTTATTTAGGGTGAGAAAGGTTTGGCTGCATACGGGCTTTCGATATATATATATATATATACATACATACAAGTTTAGGGTTTATGTGCGGTTTATAAGGTAGTCCTGCTACAAAATTAGCGGGTTTAGAGTGATATGGGCCTTTATAGTTTTATATAGGTTTTTTGGGTTCAGACGTTTATAGGGTTATATGAATGTAGATATAAAAAAATAGGGGGAAAACATATAAATACAGGGTTTCTTGGCCTGGAAGGGGTTGTAGGGGTTGGAAGGAATAGTAAAATGGGAGCCGGGTCTTGTTTGTCCGCGCGTTTGTAGAGATTCAGCCAGGTGGACAGAACGGCATCGGGCGCTCTGCTGAGGTGTTTGCCGAGGCTTTTGCCGACTGCGCCAACTGGGTGCGCTAACACGTCTTGATTTTCATGTCCGTCTTGTTAGCAAAAGGTTTTCGATGTGTGTGTGTGTGTACGCTACATCGTACAGAAGACCCACTTTGTTGAATTTTTACTGTACTTTCATATGAGTTCAGGTCCCAGCGACAACGCTGCAAAGACTGCGGCAAGCTGCAGCAGAAGATGAGCAGAGACCTGAGGGAAGCACTTCTTATCGCATCGACAAAGAATGGAACTCATTCCGGAAAGCTGAGCGTCTGGTGCGCAAGTGGGGGCTCAAATGGAACATCAAGACCTCGTACTATGAGTACAACCAAGATGTGATCATCCCGTATTTCTCACCGCGTGACATTGTGCGTTATTTGTTACAGACACACCCGGAGTTGCTATTTGGCGGCGCCACGACTATGCAGCAGCGCAAGCAAACCTTGACGGAATTCTGGGCTGCGTTTAAGGGTTTTCACAGCAGCCACGAGGTCTACACCACTCATGGTGACTACCTTGATGGGGTGGTCCCTCTGCTGTGGCACGGGGATGATGGACGCGGTGTTCGCAAGGGGACGACGACGCTGTGCACAATCGAAACACCGTTTGGGTTGGATGCTTTCAACCCGCAGTGTGAGGACCTGCAAACGTGCTGCAAGCAAGCTGGTGTTAGCAACCGTATCTTGCAGCAACAAAATGTCAACTTGAAGCGACATTCCTTCCTTACCAAGTTTCTGCTGTTTGCGGTTCCAAAGAAGTACACGAAATGCGATTCGCTGTTGCAGGGCTTGTGTGCCATCATCTCCAGAGAACTTCGAGCTTTGTTTTATGAAGGTGTGGTTGTGCAGGGTCGTCTCTGGTTTGGGGCGTGCGTGGGGTGCAAAGGAGACCTTGCGTGGTACCAGAAGCTAGCTGAGCTGAGCCGCTGCTTCAACAAAGTCGTCTGCAAGGACAACGAGGAGATGTGTCACGAATGCAAAGCAGGGAGTGCTGCTCGACCGTTTGAGGATATCTCGTCCTCCCCGAGCTGGGGCTCCACCATTTTTGCAGAACGCCCGTGGACTCAGCCTCCTACAACGGGCCTGTTGCAAGTGCCTTGTGACCGTGCTGCGCCAGAGCGCATCTTGCGCAGGGACATATTCCATAATACCAAGGCCCAAAAAGTTCGAAACGTATGAAAGGTGGTTTCCAATGTGTTTCTTGGCCCATACATCACTGTGTGCCTGGTCCCTGCAAGGTGGGCTGCTTCCAAGACTTCATAGCAAGTTCTATGCTTCTCGTCGCGGACTTCGGGTACTTTAACGATGGAAACGCCAACGCGCGCGATAAGATTTTGGAAAGGATGCATGGGCATTTTCGCCTCTTCTGTTTGGCCACAGGGCCACATGGATGATTTAGGTTTTGTATTTTTCTTACCTTCATTTCATCTGGGAATACAGGGTTTACAGGGTTTGTAGGTTTCTAAGGGTTTGCATAGGGTTAATATTTTTGCTTGACATAGGGTTTTCAAATATGTACATGGTTCGCGATTGCATTTTTGAAAGCAAGGAAATCTCCTTCGCTGATGCGGTTCACCAAATGCTTTTTGAACGCACCCTCCCGAAAGCATTATCCATGGGCCAAATGCAAAGGGTCAGACGCTATGCATCTGATGAAATGGCTTATTGTCCTTTCTGCGTCCTGCACACGCGACCTACGTTCTGAGGACCACAGGGCTGCTCTTGCAGCAATACATTCCGGAGCTCGTGCTGCTGTTTCGTGGCTGACTGCTATGTACCAACATGGTCTTTGGTGGAAACGGGCCTGCGCAGCTGCCATGAACTGGCAGGGCAGAGTGTTTGTAAGATGCTACAATCATTTAGCATGGCTCTGCCTACATCACTACAAATTCCCAGGCTACGCCATGAAGCCTAAACTCCACATGGTCTGTCATGGCCTTCACGAAGTGAGCACTTCCCTAGGTAGAGGAGACGAGTATTTCCCGAGTTTTTTAATGTTTGCCTGTGAAGGCAACGAAGACATGGTGGGGCGTGTGGCTCGCTTGAGTCGCCGAGTGCACCAGACCCGAGTTTGTGAGAGGATTCTGTTGCTGTACCAGACAAAAGCCTACGCGCTCAGCAAGAAATTCAAGAAAGAGCTTTCCAGGAAGCGGCCGCGGCCGAGCGACTGAGGCTTACTAAGGCTTCGGCGAGAGCTCGAAGTCAGCAGCGCAGGCTGAAGCACACGGCACACGGCGGCCATGACATCAGGATGGACATGTAGCTAACGGGATGAATGAAACAATGGGGCTCTGTATCCGGGGAGGATCCCGTACGTCTTTTTCTATTTAAGCTGGCTTGGGCGTAGTTCACCTCTACACTGCAATGGAGCCGGCGCCGCTGTTTCCTGGAGCTGTTTCCGTTGGCATGCCTTGCAAAATGCAACCAATTGGATTACCCGTGAATGTGGCGATGCGTGAGAAACAGCATCCGGAATCGATCGCCTTTGTAAACTCCCATGAGACCCCCCCCTTATCCCACCCTGAACCCTATATGATATGGCGCAAGCTTTGCGCAGCAGTGAGCTGGGACCCTGCTCCGCTCTTAAATCTGTCACCCCTTTGGATCGTGAACTCTTTTCAGTACACGAGAACTCTTTTTCTGAGGATCTACTCTTTTCTGAATCGTCGCCTGATTTTGATGTCTTTCTGAGCGAGAACTGTTATTTTAGCCCCCCGGCATCTCCAGGTAAACCCTAAACCCTAGACCCTAAACCCTAAACCCTAAACCCTAAACCCTAAACCCTAAACCCTAAACCCTAAGCCCATGTGTATGAGATATATATATATATGTATATATATATATATATATATATATATATATATATGACGTGCAGGGGCCAAGCATGGGCTTGCGACAGTGTGGCATTCTCTGCAACTCCTCGACCCAAGAGGAAGGCGAGCAACAAAGCGGGTGCCCCCTTTTGGTTTAAACAGGCTTCTTTAAGGGAACCCCCCCCCCCCCCCCCCCCCCCCCCCCCCCACCCCCCCAAAAAAAAAGAAAAGTGAGTAAGGGCCCTACTCTGGGCCCTAGACTTTGTGATAAGTTGACATGGGACAAGACATCGGCTCACTCCGAAGAAGGCTCTAAGGTGCGGTCTCTGGAAACCAACGGCAATGGAACCCTTGCCCCAAAGGGTCCATGTCCTACATGGTATATATATATATATATATACATACCTGTATATACATATATATATATATATATGTCGATATCGACATATATATATATATATGTATGGGTCTTAAGAGGCTCCTATACAGTAGCTTTAGGGCCCAAGTATGTACTATTTGGGTACGTGGACCCTTAGGGTATGGAGCAGGCTTCAGAGCGCGAAGCTTCCAAGATTGCATCAGGACGTTCCGTCAGCGTTCCCTTCGCATAACGGGTCTGACTTGAGGATTGCAGTTGTCACGATGCGGAATTCCGCTGCTGGTGCATATTTCCGTTAGCGCCGTGAAGAGTGCACACCGCTGGCGTGATACATCTCCCCGACATCCAACGTCGGTGAAGTATTGCACGATACTGCACGCTGGCAGAGACCTTCTTTGCACTTCCAGGGAAGGTTGGGGGACAGTTGAGTCTCTAGGCCTGCTGACGCAAAGTTGAGGTTGGAGTTTGAGGGCTGTGATCCCACCCTGCGCCCTCGGAAATATGCCCCAACCACCAACCAAGCCCTCATAGTGTTGAGGGCCAAACTAGACAAAACAAGAAAACTAACAAACAGACAGACACTTTACAATAACTATGTATATATATATATACACAAATAAATACTTTATTTGTCGGTTTGTTTTGTATTCACACACTCACAGCCATCAAGTGCGTCCTCAAGCCGAGCAGGAGTGTTTTGAACGACAGGCAGCCCAACGGTACAGCTCAACAGCACAAAAATCAGCGTGTGTACTACAGGGGCCTGAATAATTAGAATACTTTTTTTTTGTTGGGGGGGGGGGGGGGTATTGTAGTAAAAATTGCAAAGGGGCCAGAAGGGAATATTGTTAGCAATTATTCCGACCCCTATATTATGGCATACAGCGTCACTACTGCAATACATCTACGATGTCTCGGAGCTGCTTCTCAAAGCCGCCAAGCGGGGCGGGGGACTCTACCAACGAGCACACTTAGGGTTTAGGGCTTAGGGTTTAGGATTTAGGGTTTAGCCCGCCCTAAATACAGCATCGCAATAGTATGCAGATGGCACTCCAGGGCATAAGCCTTACAGATCCGACACTTCTCGCCCCATAAGCCCTCCAAACCCCTCCTTAAAACCCCGAGTCCCTCCGGCGGAAGCCTCCTGTGCATCATAGGAGTTGCCGCCGAACTGCACTAAACACTCTGCCCAATCTTTGGCCTCTCAGGTGGCACTCTTTGTCTCTTTCTGGTGATGTGTTGGGATGTTCAGCGTTAACAGTCCTTCATTGGGATTATAGTACCCCCTATTATAACCCCGATTAAGGGCTGTTAGTATGAACATCCCAAGTGATGTCTTTACAACCTCAACTCTGACCCCTGGACGGCCATTTACAGGCCCCAAACATCCCCCAAAACCCCTTAAACGGAAAACCGAGGCCTGTTGCAAGCGTTTTGCATGTGGCTCCGCGCGATGTCATGCTTACTGAAAGTCGGTCGATACTTTCGTGTCAACAATCGCATAAATACATAAGTAAATACAGAAATAAAGAAGGGCCTACTCTGGGTCGTAGACTTTGTGATGCGTTTAAGAAGCTCATGGCTCTGCCCCTCTGGAGCTACTGTAGCCTACTCTTAAGGGGTAAAAGGACGGACCCCTGTATAGCCCAGAACCTCTATATAACTTTTCTGTTCTGTTACACCGAAGTAGCCCCTAAATAACCCCTAAATAACCCCCTTTAGTAACCTTGGATATTCGGGTTAGGGTTTAGGGTTTAGGGTTTAGCGTTTAGGGTTTAGGGTTCAGGGTTCAGGGTTTAGGGTTTAGGGTTTAGGGTTTAAGGTTTAGGGTTTAGGGTTTAGGGAACGCTGCATGCTGCAGCTTCTGGCCTTGGATCGTACGGCATCCTCCACATCTGGAGGGCGCATCCTGGAGCGCAGCGCCAAAGGAATGATGATATAGATAGGGTTTAGGTTTAGGGTTTAGGGTTTAGGGTTTGGGGTTTGGGGTTTAGGGTTTTGGGTTTGGGGCTTAGGGTTTAGGGTTTAGGGTTTGCGCAGGCCGCCCTCGGCTTTTGGAGGAGAAAAAGGTAGACTCCAGAGCGGAAGTCTATGCCACTCTGGGCTCCTTACGTCCAGTCGGATCGCACCCTAAGCCCTGACCCCTAAACCCTAAACCCTAAACCATAAACCCTAAACCCTCGAAACCTTGAACCCGAAGCTGCCTTTCCTGATTTCCATGTCTTTAAAAGGCAAGAGCAAGCACCATTTGACCTGTTGGCAACGTATAGCTAGATTCGTCAGAAACGCCCGTTAGCACTGCATCTGCTTCCAGTATGAGGAAGAAGTCTGACTAAAAGTCTCATGCGCGTCCACGTGGTCTGCTTCCAAACCTAAACTGAAACGCCTCATTTTGACCGAGATCACAACCGCGAGACGACCCACAAGCCCTACAACTAAACCTGTACCCTGCGACAAGCCCGAACCAAAACCCTAAACGCCGCTTGAAGGCCTAGTTGGGGGCTCCATGACAGCTCGCCGGGCGGTTGGCTGCAACAGCCTCCAAAAATGCAGCCGAAAGCTTTAGGGGCATTGCGAAAGCAGTGCCCTAAACAACAGGACCTGTCCTTGACTTCTCCATCCCCATCCTGGGCACAGGCGCCTGATATCGGTTCTCTGCGCTAGAGACCACAGGGCACGGGTCGCGCCCGCAAAGGCCTGCATGCCTCGCAGTCGCTGGCAAAGTACATTCAACAAGCCCATGGAGCTCCCTTAAGTCCCCAAGGGCCAAGGGTCCCACCGGGCCGCCAGGCCAGCGCGAAGGCGGCAAGAGCCAAAATGCTTTGGCAGCGCCGCCTTCACGGATGCCATCGCTGACGGATGAGGGGATTGAGGGTTTTTCATTAGGGTTAGCACGCAGGCACAAAAGAAGGATCCATACACGCTTTCCTCACAACCCAGCCTCGTCAGCTCCATGGTATCAAGGAAAATTGGCGGCGCCAAGGCACAGCTTTGAGCTTCTCCCCGAAATGTCTCTGGGGCCCATATGATGGCCCCCTGAGCTAAACCCTAAACCCTAAACCTATAAACCCTAAACCCTAAACCCTAAACCCTAAACCCTAAACCCTAAACCCGAACACGGATTCTCGGACCCTGCTTTGCCCGTTGACTTTGTTCCATTCAGGTGTGAACCCGAGTCTGCTTTCTACGCTCCTGGATGCATGGGCATGCTGAGAGGATGTTGACAACGAACAGCATCTTGGGTCAACCCTAAACCCTAACCCTTTGCGGAGGAACTCCCATATTGCATGATGGCGCATGGCGCCATGTGGCCGCCTTTTTGATGCGAGAAGCAGGGTGGTCAACGGCCATGCCAGTTTGCAGCGTGTGGACAAGTGATGTAGTATCGGGATTCTGGAGCCCGTGAACTTGCAAATCGATTTTTTGCGTTCAGGGCGTAGAGACCTTAAACCCTAAACCCTAAAAGCATGCACCAGGCAGCTGCATGAGATGCCCTGGGGGAACGCACCATCTGCCGCGAGGAAATGGCAAGCCTCGACGTCGCAGATGCCACAACTACACTTGAAAGGGCAGGGTCGGTTCTTTCCCTTTGAATAAGAGAGGCACAGCAGCTGGAAAGGATTCTTGAGGGCTGTAAGCTGACAGTCAGGCTTCCCCCCCCTGAAGCAAGAAGTCGACCCGAAATTGAAAGTTTGTAGTTGAGCCGGGAAATAACTTGGGGGGGGGGGGGGGGGGTACATGTTGGGCAGGGTTGACAGCACACTTTGTACGACCCTCAAAGCCGTAAAATGCTGAAACCTCCCCTAAACCCTGAACCCTGAAAGCCCCTGAGCCCTAGAAGGAGCAACTGGGCTGCGGGACCCGAACGTCACCACAGCGCAGCCGGTGACACGGCACCGTGCTCTGGGAGTCTGGCACAGAAGGGCTGTAAGGGTTTAGGGTTTAGGGTTGAGGGTTAAGGGTTTACGGTTTGGTATGGGGGCGAGGGGGGAGAGGGTTCGATACGTTGCTGTCAGCCTGCTCTTCTCGCAACTTGCGCGAAGAACCCTGTCTTCGCGCCCACAAAACGCAGACCTCCACCATGCCTTGTTCCTGCCGGGTTATGGACCTTAGGGTTTTGGTTAGGGGCTACGGGCCGTTCGCGGGTTGCTCTGACTTGCGGTGGAGGCCGCAACAAGTGGAGAGGAGACAGGTTCAGGGCCCTCAGAAATCCGCACCCCAAGCCACGCAGTTCGGAAACCCTATCCCTGAAAGCCATCAACCCTTACGTTGATTGCAGGCCAAAACATCTGCGCCTCGGCCCTCCAGGTGGTTGGCCTTTGGAGCATTCGGGGTTTTCATGTCGGAAGGTTCATGGCTACTGTTATGTGAGTAGGGCTTAACGTGCCTTATGTCGGGCGATAAAACAGACGGCGCATGACTGTGCTTGTAATGAATCAACACAGTTAATGTTTTGTGCCATGAAATTTTCGAGACTCAGCCACCTGAGCCACATTACGCCGTACTGTTCGGACACCAGCTGTGTGGGAGCTGCAGCCATGTCTGCTGCCACGGAGCCCTCTCTCATCATTTGGAGGTCTGCCGTCGCGCTCACATCTGAGTTCGAGAAGAGGATGCGGCTGTCGAGGGTGTTCACTCCCTTGGCAGCCTGAAGGAAAAGCCTGCATGCCTTCTGTGCATGCATGAGCTGTCGGGTGGAGACATCAAACGCCATCTGCCACTGACGACGTGTCATAGTGGTGGGGCAACTGAGCGGTGGATCGGCATAGGCCAGAGTCGCAGCTGCTGCTTCGGCTCTTAGGCCTGCAATTTTGGCGACGATGTCATTCAGACTCTTGCCGCTCGCCAACTCTTCGAAGGTGACAGTGTCAATGGCCTCCTTGAACTCGTCCCAGAAAAAAGGTGACAAGGCGCATCTTTTGCGAGATGCATTTGTTGACGGTGGCTTCCAAGCCGACAGACAAAGTTAAGGCCTTCCAAGAGACCAGCATGAGCATCAACAAAACGACGTCCTCGTCTCCACAATCCGGTTTAACATGGTGTCCGGATGGACGCCAAGGTGTAGTAGAAATGCTTCCGCTGCCATCTTTTCCACGAGCATACTTTGCCTGTTCGCAGTATTGACTTGTAGGCCCGAAAATTCGCCCCCGCTCCACTGATTGCATCGACGTACCGGGGCGCGCAAATCTGCGTCAACCCGTACAACTCGCTGCCCATGTCGTCGAGGGTGTTCAAAACTGCAGGCGAAGTGCTTGCGACATTGTCCTTGAGAAAATTCTTAAACGGTGACCACTTAGCCTGCACATTGCCCAGAGCATTGACGATGATCTGAGAGGGTGCTTCGACAGTAGCCCATTTCCATCCCTGAGCACGATGTGCCCAGAGTCAAAGAGACTGATACTTTCCTCCATGTTTGCCATGCTTTTCGACACATTCACACCCTTGGCAATCATCAAGAACTCGAATTGCACCTTCGCAATCCCAACTTTGCCGCCCTGCAGCAATCAGTCCTGCCTTCCACTGCACATTCGTGACCGTGACTGCACTCGCCTCAACAACTTGAAGCAATGCAGCGATGGCCACAAGACTCCTGCTGCCCGCCAACATTAGTAGCACCTGCAAAAGGCACCAGGGAAGACACGAGGGGCACAGAATTGAACTGAAAAAGGCTGCGGCAAAGTAGTGGTGGAGTCGTAGCAGGAGTTCAAGCTTAAGTTCAACTGCGATTCGGATTCGGGCGACACACCTCGCAAGAACGATCAAACAAGAATCGAAGCGCTACGCCAAGACAAAGACCTAAATCAGCATCTCCTCCGAATTGCATTCATGCTCAGAGCGGCCCAAGTGTGACCGTGTGTCTCTGTCTGTCCGAGAGCTCGGCAACAGGCGCCCGGCTGCTGCAGATCTAGTCTGGAGAGGCTCCTGCCCAGGTCATGCTGCGACTACCAAAATCTCAGACCCCTTAACCCATTTGGAGGTTTCCGAAATTAGGGGGTACCTTGCGGGGTTCCCGATTATAAGGGAATCCTACTACTGGGGGTCTATATTATAGGGGTCCCTTATTTTGGCAAACCCCTCATTTTGGGCATCCCAACTCCAAGAGCCAGGGCGTCGGTTTCCAAACCCCCATAAACCTCATGTAAGAAGTTCTTAAGAACCCATAAGCCTTATTTTGAAAGTTCTTCAAAATTCAAGAAACCTTCTGCATAAAGTTCTTAAAACCCCATGAACTCCCATTTCCTCGACCCTGCCTCGGCGGGCCACCCCGCAAGCCCCGGAAGGCGGAGCATCCCACTCACGGTTGCGAACGCCGCCATTAAGGAGGGGGGGGGTGGCACTTGTTGCACTTCTGGCCTGGGATGTCGGGTGCATCTTTCAAGACCTGCATGTAGGAACCGTATAGAATTTTCGGGTCTGCGATCATGGAGAAGGGTGAAGGGGCTTCTAGGAGTTGTGTAAGGCTTGAGCTACACGGGTCCATGTGGACTTTGAGCCATGCATGCAGAGATGAAAGGTTCTGGTGGGTTACTAATAACAGGCTGATGCATTTAGGCATACGTGAATAACAAGCAACATGGTAATATGTAAAAGAGGTCTGCAGGGGCGGGATCGAAGTTGCTTACCCCATGCATGGGTTTCTCAAGATTTGGGCATTGGCGATCGTTCGGGTGTCCACGGGTTCGACGGTCTCGTGATTCTGAGACAGCGAAGCATAGAGACATAGACATACTGAGCCAGGCTGGCTAAGCAAAACTTGGAAGGCGCAGCGGTCCTTTTTTGTCACATTGCAAACCCAACTCGTCGCGGGATTTGTGTATGGGGTTGTTTGCCCACCTTCCGCACAAGCTGATGGCTATGGTCGGGTGCCATATGGCCAGGTCTCTATATGATGGCCCGTTCTTTGTATCCCAAGCCCCAAAAATTCCTGAATATGATGGGAGAGCGGGCCATCACTCGGAGAACCTTACTTCCATCTTTGGGAAGGAGTGGTTGTATTGCAGTGTCATCAAGGGAGATTCTTCTGTCTTCTTGTAGGTACCAAAACCCTAAACGCTTCACCCTAAACCCTACACATGTTGCTGCACTTATTCGTAGCTACCCATGAACCTGGATTGCCAGTTTCCAATGTCCGGTTCGGGCTTAGAGCTTAGGGCTTAGGGCTTAGGGCTGACAGGTCTTAGGGCTTAAGGCACATAGGGCTTAGGGCTTATAGGGCTTAGGGCTTAGGGCTTAGGGCGTGCGGTTTAGGCTTTAGGTTTTCGAGTTTAGGGTTTCAGGCATCTCGGCAATGGATTCTAAAGCATCTAAGGCACCCGTCATCTCAGTTTTTCGAGAAAAACAGGTCAAGCCGCGGTTGCTGCATCAGTTGTCCAGACTCAGACACGCCTCAACGGCTGCCCGTCTCCCGATCACCACAGCTCTATCGCCTTTATAGGTAGAAGGTATATAAGGGTAAACTATCGCCTAGAGCACAAATTATATGTGCACATATATATATATATGTATAATACGCATACTTTCCACTTGCCCATATTTATGAACATGCGAACTCTCGGAGGGGGGGGGGAACTGTAAATATTCGGGGGAGGGGTTCAAAGCCCTCAAGCCAAGCAAAAGCCACGATGCGGCCGAGGATGCAACCTTTCAGAATCATGGTGTTGTGAATGGTGACCGGGTTGTTTGGCCTTCAAAGGCGAGCAACAATTTCGCAAGTGCAGTCGCGACGACAAAGAGCATGTCACATCTGAGCACATCCCTAACCCCTAAACCCTAAACCCTAAACCCGCCGAGGCGGAGTGAACATTCCCCGAAAACATCTGTGGTTACATGTAGGGTCCAGGGTTAGGGTTTAGGATTTAGGGTTTAGGCCTTAAACAAATCGTTTCCGCAATCGGTATCTGTACTCCTCCCCTTCCAGATGGGTAGATATAAGTAGAAAGGAACATGCTGACGTAAACCCTTCACCATTCACCCTGAAGCCCTCAACCCCGAGCTAAAGCCCTCAAACATCT